TGTGGAACACCCATGGAGGATAAATCTATCCCACATGACTGCACTCGGTGACCTCAGTCGGCTATCGCAACTGACTCAAACCGACGAGTGGATGCTTTGTTTCCAGGTTCCGTAATGCGCGACTGTAACATCATAGTTAATATAAACTATAACAATTCTTGTCCAGTGAACACAAATAAACGTCGGAGGATCATCTATGACTCTGATTCTGAATGAACACACGCGTGACACTCACACCATTGCAATATTTCGCGTGCATAAACAATTGACGTCATTATAAACTGGGAAATCCCCTTTTTGTCCATGACATCGCGGCAAGCCTACCCTACCTTAATAAATGATACGGAGTTAAATGTTGTTCAATACAAGTATTTCCATGTATCTATCGCTAATTAAAATATTTAATTTCCAAAAAATAAATATTTCTAATGGTTATTCATATTGTGTTTGTAGTCTGTCATTTTGCTCTCGCGGAAGAATGTAGAATTTTGGAAACGTGAATGGTGATATTCATGCGCCATTCAGACACTTGAAACGTGGGATTTTTTTTTTTTTTTTACGTCGTGGCGGAAATAATGGGATGGGAGAAAAATAATCAACCCTTACCCTCAGAGGATGTGACAGAGAAATCTCCAACCCTCGGGGTGATTTTTTTGTAGTGTAACCCTCGGCAGAGCCTCGGGTTAGACAACAACAAAAACACCCCTCGGGTTGGAGATTTCTCTATCACACCCTCAGGGTAGGGGAAGATTCTATTAATCCTACATGGGCAGAGGTGGGAGAAAAGATATTCTATGACAGCTCTGCAGTAGATGTAGATTTTTTAAGGAATCTACGAACAACGAAATCAAGATGGTGTACTTAGCGCCCCCGATCAAAGGCCCTCAGTAAAGTCTTATCATCGTTGGAGTGTGTGTCATCATTTTCGTTTACTTACCATTTCTGTAATGGATTCTGTGTATTTTGACTGACGGGTTGATTTTGATGACGTCATTGAAGTTTTTTTTTAACTTTGGTAGAGTACTTATTTCGAATGACCGGTTGATTTTGATGACGTCATTGAAGTTTTTGTAAACTTTGGTAGAGTACTTATTTCGAATGACGGGTTGGTTTTGATGACGTCATGGAAGTTTTTGTAAACTTTGGTAGAGTACTTATTTCGAATGACGGGTTGGTTTTGATGACGTCATTGAAGTTTTTGTAAACTTTGGTAGAGTACTTATTTCGAATGACGGGTTGGTTTTGATGACGTCATTGAAGTTTTTGTAAACTTTGGTAGAGTACTTATTTCGAATGACGGGTTGGTTTTGATGACGTCATTGAAGTTTTTGTAAACTTTGGTAGAGTACTTATTTCGAATGACGGGTTGGTTTTGATGACGTCATTAAGATTAATATTACCGTAAAGTGTATACATCAGTTTTCTTTTACCGGTGTATGACTTGTATGGCGTATTTTGGCGTGAATTTTTGATAGTTTGCATGCAAAAGCATTATTTTGACAGTTTTTGTATTATTACAAAAATATCACTATTTTACTGACATAATTTCTATTTGCAAAATTTACATTTTTCACTAATAAAATTACATTTTTATTTTTTTCAGATAGGTAATGTTGCTGCTGTTTGCTGTTGATTTTTTAGCTGTTTGCTGTTGTTTGCTGCTGTTTTGATGTTGGTATTTGCATACAAAAATATTAACATCTTACATTTTTTTACCTTTAAAAAGCTTTTTTAGGCCCAGTATTCAGTGATATTGTAATTATGTCTACTGGTCCCCCGGGTTGCTTACAATTACAAATCTGTAAAGAATCCGAATTAAGCAAGGTATCATGGATGACCAAAACTATTGTTTACAAAGTTAGTCCCATTTAGCTTGTTGATCACTTATCAGATTTTGAACGAATGATATCTGTATGCATCGGATTTTTTCCCGTTCTGTCAGACATCGCCATTATTTTCTCTGTGTACCAAATGAAATATACAGAGCTGATCACACACTAGAGGGTTCAGTTGCCTAATTCGAATAGGGTTATACGTCCACTGTTTGTTTGTTTGTTTAAAGAGTTACCGAAAGCTTCTCCACTTCTTGCTTTGTCTATATATGCGGCAAGCCAGTGTTGACTTTGTTTCTTATCCTGATCGGTTTTTTAGACTGACGAACAGGGCGACGTTCATGAAAGAGTTAATCTGCTCCTGGCACAGAAATCTTTAAAATATGTGAAATCTTTGAAAAGATTACTTCTATCCCCAAATTATTCAGTTTTTAGGTATTGAAGTCAAATAAGACATGTCGTTTCCTGACGATTTCTATGGTAACGTTGATAGTTTGGGTTAATGCTTCATCGAATGAATTTCCTGAGGCAGATTTCCTCTCTTGATAAGGTGAAAATTCGGAAAAAATGTTTTCCTGTGCATTTTTATTCTTTTTTCTCGGGGGTCCGAGGCTTCGCAAGGCTTTCAGTTGTTTTGATTTGGCCGACGTTTTAATATCTTTACCACTCAACAAATCTTCCGCCAAATGCATGGCAGTTCTCAATGCTTGTTTGCCTAAAGACTTAGCACCAGTCTTAAAACACGGTCGCCACGGCTTTCACTTCCGATTTTACTAGAGGGGCGGTCGATTTGAAGATACCTTCAATGATACTCCCTAATACCTGTCCTCGCTGAATTCGAACTCCTTAAAACTTCAGCTCAACCTCCTGTTTGATTTAAGTAATATTTATCGCTGTGGTGAGTTACTTGCATTTCTTCGATACTAGTTTTATTTCGTAGCCATAAAAAGTATTTCTGTATTTTTTGTATTTAAAAGAAATTACTTCCTCATATAGATTTTTCAGATTGTAACATGACTTTTTCCCTCTGCAATGGAATGGACTTACCTGTATCGTCTATCAGCATTACGTTAATTTCTTGAAAATGTCTTTGATGGAGAGCTACGTAATGAATGGGTTAAAAATCATTACTCACGACGAGTCCGCGTTTGTCTTCTATTGAAGCTTTCATTTTATATGTTAATTTCAAGGGTTATATCTCGCACAGCTTTTTCAAAGTTTCTGATATCGATGGACGGGAAATTGACATTTGTTTGTAAGCTGGGAGTTTCGAATGAAATAGCAGTATCGTAACCGGTTCCGTCGTCATCATCATTATCTTTCCACCATATCCTTGTCGAAACATTCTACTCTTCGTTGTATGACTGGAGATTCCGTGATGTGCTGTGTAACAGAAATTACCGGAGTATTTTGTAACGGAGTGGAAACTACGTCGCAATTTTTCTTAGTATGTTTATTACGTGGGATTGACGTACTTCGGAGATCTGTGACGCGAAGCATTACTGACTTAGTGTACGAGATTAGAACCCGTAATCACCGATTGACCTTTGTATCCGTAATCCCGCACCTCTTTTCACTATGTCTATGTCGTGCAAGGATTTCATGATCGAGTCCGCCGGCGGTTTAGGTATCACTCATACACTGTATCACTGCATTACCAAAAAATCTTTCTCATATTTCCTGGAACAGTTCATCCAAGAGTTTGATTGCTAATAGTAATACTTTAGGTGCCAGTGCCTGAATGAAAAACCCCTTTCGACCATGTTCTTCACTTATTTTAACGGTAGTCTTTTGACGAATTTATGAAGACCGGCTTTATCAAGTGTCAAACATTCCTTCTGTTGTTTCTCATCCTTTCTTCCGAAAAAACCGAGACGTAAGGTGGCTTCTCTTTCGTTTCAACATTGAGGGCCAAACCTTGCAGCCTCGAATGTTTTCTACTGTTGTAACTTAAAATAAGATCCGGTAACGCGCCGGTGAATCTGTATGTCTAATTCGAGTGAAAGTTCCTATAAATGATATTTTTTAATTTACCTTTGAAAGATGCGGCAAAACAGCTTTGTGAGCACTGTGACTCGCATCGCAGAATGTGACAACATAGTAGAAATGACACATAATTCGTCTTAATGGGTTTTATTTATAGTTTCTCTTCTTGTCCACCATTCATTTTCTGAACAATTATAAACAACCTTGGAAACCCATAGCACTCATTAGAATGTCACTGAATACTGCAAAAGTTCACATAATACATTTTGAGGTCAAAAATATTTTTTAAAAGTAAAGTTTTGCAAATAAGAAATGTAAATGTTGATATTCCAATATTCCATCGCTCCAATGATGATAATGAAAACAAAAAGATGACGTCACACACTCCAATGATGATGAGATGTTACTGAGGGGACTTTTTTCGGAGGTTGTTAAGGTCGGAATTTTAATTTCCAATATTGCGGAACTTCCTTAGCAAGTCCTCCCCACCCCAGTAACGCCTTATCAACAAATAGGTACAGACATATACTGAACCGGAAGTGTCGTATCATGTTATCATGGTGGTCTTTTCTTGTAGCTTTTGAAAATACATGCTCAATAAGGTATTTGCAAAGTCTAGAAAAAGTCGATTAAGAAAATGAATCAACGAACTGACGCGTATGAGATATCAATGTCGTATATATTCATAAATCAAGCTTCTGGTACAATTATTGTGCCTGTAGTATCCTACCATTGACTTAATGTAGCCCGTAATTATCCAATTGTTTGATGTTTTGGATACCGTGCATTGACTCATGCTTAAATGTGTTAATGTCTGGTGACTTTGGAAGTTGTAGCATCTCTATCACTTATACAAAATATGCACATTTGGATAACACCTTTTCACACAACTTAGCTGTTAGATAAAGTAGGACCAAACAACGAATAAAACTGCACCATACAGCTATTTCGTCCTTCCAAGACCCTAAGGTGATGCTAAGGGCCAAACTTTTGAGGATCATTTTGCGCTTGGCGGGCTCCATGTGACTTGGCAATGCCCAGAACATGATTCTTATGGTATGCCGTATTTCCTGATTTCCGAACTCGGACCCTGCCGTGTGTCGGATTAAGGAAAAAGCGGCTTTCATCACACCGGTGGACTCTTTGCCAATACCTTATACACCGTATCAAGTGATAACGTACCAATTGCAGTCCACTGTCCCCTGAGCCTGTTTGCAGTGGTGAATGGGTCCCTGCTTGCCGGTCTACACAGATCTTCTCTATCCGTAGTCTTTCTTCTGCGAGACCTGAGTGGCCTGTCAACATGCCCGGTTTGGTTGTGACGCAATATTAACCGAGAAATAGCAAAATGGCCGACATCAAAACATACACCATGTTGTTTGTATATCAAACTACCTTGATCTATCCCAGACATTTGCCACCTTTCAGTATATGTCAATCGACGTGTCAGTTTTAAATTCAATATGAGCAAGTATATGTTTTACCAGTAATACACATGCAAACGCTGCTTCATGTGGAAAAACAACCTTATGTTTGTAATAGCACGTTGTATCTCAGGTTATCATTTAGCTGGTTGTACCTCATGATGGCATACGGCAGCAAATACAATAGTACACACTGCCAGGACTACGAAAAGGTACATTTTTACAACTGGAAAAAATCAGCTTCATTTAAATGTGCATACCGAAATTGATGATCCCAATGACAGGTGTATATATAGGTGGAGACCGATTCTACTGGGGACATGACAGCTTAATCGGTTGAATATCTTCTGAAACGTTAGGTGAAGGGCTATGGTCTGTGCGGGTTGTATACCGTAATAGTAGACTAACATTACAGATAGTCTCGGGTTGTAAAGACATTACCTTATTTTACGTTGTTGCATTCAATGGGCCTCCCGATGGACATAGTGTATGTTTCTGACAGATAATCGTCGAAAATTGTATTATGTGTTAGTAAAGAAATCATCTTTGTTTTAGGACTATACAACTGTGCAGGATCACATCATTGTCCTAATAGCCACACCATTCCTCTACAAGAAGTATGTGACGATAAAAGCCAGTGTCCAGATTCCGATGACGAATCTGTATGTGTCCATCCGTGCCAACCTAGTTGTACGTGCGTTGGTCTCATAGTCAACTTCAGCGACCCTTCCCAGGGGACTGTACGGGCACCTTTCAATATCTTATGGAACGATTCAATATCTCCGGGTATTCTACACCTATCAAACATTGGTTATTTAGTCATTACGGATATCAATGAGTTGTACAAAACATTTTTCAATGGTTTACAAAGCCTCAGATCACTGGATTTATCTAATAATGGCATTGTGTCATTACCTGAAGGCTTGTTTGACGACATGTCAAGTCTTGTATCTTTGAATTTATCATATAATAAGATAAATCAATTACCAACCGATGTGTTTCACGGTCTCTCTGGACTCGAGATGCTTTTACTAAGCAATAATATAATATCAGTTCTACCCGATACTGTGTTAAGAGGTTTCCCTGTACTTAAGTTTCTGGACCTATCTAACAATCAGATATCAGTTCTACCCGATACTGTGTTAAGAGGTTTCCCTGTACTTAAGTTTCTGGACCTATCTAACAATCAGATATCAGTTCTACCTGACAACGTTTTTAATGAGCTACTTAGACTTCAACAGCTGTACCTTTCTGACAATCAGATATCAGTTCTACCTGATAAATTATTTAGAGATCTCCCTGTACTTTACATGCTGGACCTATCTAAAAATCAGATATCAGTTCTACCAGATAAAGTTTTTAGAGATCTCCCTGTACTTTACACACTGTACCTATCTAACAATCAGATATCAGTTCTACCTGATCAAGTGTTTAGAGATCTCCCTGTACTTAGCATACTGGTCCTATCTAACAATCAGATATCAGTTCTACCAGATAAAGTGTTTAGAGATCTCCCTGTACTTATGATACTGGACATGTCAAACAATCAGATAACTTCTCTTCCCACCCTATCTGCCTCTGTTGAATCGCTCGATATATCATACAATGATTTTTCACATTTAACTTTTAGTACGTTCACTAATTATAGTAATTTATCTTTTTTGGATATCACAGGGAACAAGCTGAAAGTTAAGCAACACATGTTTGAAGGTTTAGACAATCTGACTGTTTTACTGACTGATACTCCATTCATGTGTTGTGTTAAGCCTAAGTCGGTTGCCGAAGATAGATGTCTAAATAGGCAATATAATATATTCCATTGCATGTTTGAACCAGATACCTGCAAATCAGAAGAAGATATGATATCCTCTTGTGATAATTTGATAGGTTCAGATTTACTTAGAGTTTTTCTCTGGATAATTGGAGTTTGTGCCCTAATCGGAAACTTTGCTGTAATGTTCTACCGATTACTTATTGATAGAGATAATATCAGGAGGAGTTATTCGATTTTTGTACTGAATTTGAGTGTGTCGGATTTCCTTATGGGTATATACCTGATGATAATAGGCACTTTTGATGTCAATTATCGAGATATGTACGCATGGAATGATCAGGATTGGAGAAAGAGTATTATATGTACTATAGCTGGAATTGTATCAAATGTCTCTAGTGAAATGTCAACGTTCCTTATACTAATGGTGACAATAGACAGAGCGATTGTCATAGTATCCCCCATGTCCCGTCTTTCTCGGCGAAATATCTCGTGGAAACAGGCTTGCTTAATCTCATTTTTCTTGTGGTTGGTTGCTATCACAATTGCTATCATCCCTGCTGTTTTTTTGCAATTCTACTTCAAGAATGAATATTATTCTCAATCAGGAGTGTGTCTTGCTTTACCACTGACAGGTGATGAACAACCTGGTTCGGAATATTCCTTCGCAGTGTTCGTTTGTCTGAACAGTTTCGTCTTTGTTATCATAGCCATAGGCCAACTCTGCATGTTTAAAAGCCTTATGACAAGTGGCGGGAGTCGGGTAGCTTCATCACTGACTCGACAACGAGACATGACAGTAGCTAGAACCCTCTTCCTTGTGGTGGCAACTGACTTCTTCTGCTGGTTTCCTATCGGTGTCATGGGTAGGTGATATTTGTATATTTAATTACAAGACTTGATCTACGTCGATAAAGTCAAGGTTCAAGGATTTTGATTTACATGTACAAATACTTAACTAGATATCAACAAAACATTCAAAGCACCTCTGTATAAAAAAGCAAGAAAGGCTTTGATTTAACACACTATATGAAAATCAATAAAAGTATGACTAGTGAAAATGAGTGTTCTACTTGACCGATCACGTCATCAAAAATAAAGAATATATTTCATTTCAAATTAAATAACTAGCATAAAAGATGGACATCTGTAAAAAAAGTTTATCTACAGCATAGATATATTGTCATTATAATGAATGATTCTGGCCATCAAAAGTAAAAGTAATATGATGTTTCTTTTAGTCCAAGTACAAAGGAGTTCATGCTCAGGTAAATTGCATTAGATTCGGCCGATAATTAATACTAATGACAAAGTAAACGCTTTAAATACATACCGTTTTTCTCGTCCTCAATACTGCTTATAGTGTTGTTTAACCTATAATGATAAGAATAATTGTCAGATATTACGTTACATTTTTCAGGTTTGATGTCAAAAAGTGGATACAAGATTTCGAATGACGCATATGCCTGGGTAATGGTATTTGTGCTGCCGGTCAATGCCGCCATCAACCCGTTCTTGTACACAGTATCAGCAATTTGGAGGAAACGACAACGAGCACGTTGACTACCATCACTGTGATTATAGCTCTTAAAACTCTTACATATACCTAAGTGTCCATAACACACTGTTAATAGTACAGTACGTTATATCAGAAATGCTCGCTCAACATTGAATTAGAGTGTCGGAAATGCGCACTCAACATTGAGTCATAGTGTCAAAAATGCTCACTCAACATTGAATTAGAGTGTCGGAAATGCGCACTCAACATTGAATCATAATGTCAAAAATGCTCACTCAACATTGAATCAGAGTGTCGAAAATGCTCACTCAACATTGAATCAGAGTGTCGGAAATGCTCGCTCAACATTGAATCAGAGTGTCGGAAATGCTCACTCAACATTGAGTGAGAGTGTCTGAAATACTCACTCAACATTGAATCAGAGTGTTGGAAATGCGCACTCAACATTGAATCAGAGTGTCGGAAATGCGCACTCAACATTGAGTAAGAGTGTCGGAAATGCGCACTCAACATTGAATCAGAGTGTCGGAAATGCTCACTCAACATTGAATCAGAGTGTCGGAAATGCGCACTCAACATTGAATCAGAGTGTCGGAAATGCGCACTCAACATTGAGTAAGAGTGTCGGAAATGCTCACTCAACATTGAATCAGAGTGTCGGAAATACGCACTCAACATTGAATCAGAGTGTCGGAAATGCTCACTCAACATTGAATCAGAGTGTCGGAAATGCGCACTCAACATTGAGTAAGAGTGTCGGAAATGCTCACTCAACATTGAGTGAGAGTGTCTGAAATACTCGCTCAACATTGAATCAGAGTGTTGGAAATGCGCACTCAACATTGAATCAGAGTGTCGGAAATGCGCACTCAACATTGAGTCATAGTGTCAAAAATGCTCACTCAACATTAAATCAGGATGTCGAAAATGCGCACTCAACATTGAATCAGAGTGTCAAAAATGCGCACTCAACATTGAATCACAGTGCAGGAAATGCTCGCTCAACATTGAATCAGAGTATCGGAAATGCTCACTGATCGGAAATGCGCACTCAACATTGAGTAAGAGTGTCGAAAATGTGCACTCAGCATTGAGTAAGAGTGTCTTAAATACTCACTATACAATGAATCAGAGTGTCAGAAATGCTCACTCAACATTGAGTGAGAGTGTCTGAAATACTCACTCAACATTGAATCAGAGTGTCGGAAATGCTCGCTCAACATTGAATCAGAGTGTCGGAAATACTCGCTCAACATTGAGTCAGAGTGTCGGAAATGCACACTCAACATTGAATCAGATTGTAGGAAATGCTCGCTCAACATTGAATCAGAGTGTCGGAAATGCACACTCAACATTGAATCAGAGTGTCGGAAATGCTCGCTCAACATTGAAGAGTCAAATGTGAGTCAGAGTGTCGGAAATGCTCGCTCAACATTGAATCAGAGTGTCGGAAATGGGCACTCAACATTGAATCAGAGTGTCGGAAATGCACACTCAACATTGAATCAGAGTGTCGGAAATGGGCACTCAACATTGAATCAGAGTGTCGGAAATGCGCACTTAACATGGTGTCAGAGTGTCGGAAATGCGCACTCAACATTTAATCATAGTGTCAAAAATGCTCACTCAACATTGAATCAGAGTGTCGGAAATGCGCACTCAACATTGAATCAGAGTGTCGGAAATGCTCACTCAACATTGAGTGAGAGTGTCTGAAATACTCACTCAACATTGAGACAGAGTATCGGAAATGCTCGTTCAACATTGAATCAGAGTGTCGGAAATGCTCGCTCAACATTGAATTAGAGTGTCGGAAATGCGCATTCAACATTAAATCAGAGTATCGGAAATGCGCACTTAACATGGAGTCAGAGAGTCTGAAATACTCAACATTGAATCAGAGTGTCGGAAATGCTCACTCAACATTGAATCAGAGTGTCGAAAATGCGCACTCAACATTGAATCAGAGTGTCGCAAATGCTCGCTCAACATTAAATCAGAGTGTCGGAAATGCTCACTCAACATTGAGTGAGAGTGTCTGAAATACTCACTCAACATTGAGTAAGAGTGTCGGAAATGCTCGCTCAACATTGAGTCAGAGTATCGGAAATGCTCGCTCAACATTGAATCAGAGTGTCGGAAATGCTCGCTCAACATTGAGTCAGAGTGTCGAAAATGCGCACTCAACATTGAATCAGAGTGTCGCAAATGCTCACTCAACATTGAGTCAGAGTGTCGGAAATGCACATTCAACATTGAGTCAGAGTGTCGGAAATGTTCGTTCAACATTGAATCAGAGTGTCGGAAATGTCAATAGTAAGAGTGTCACTCAACATTGAACATTGAAATGCAGAGTGTCGGAAATGCTCACTCAACATTGAATCAGAGTGTCGAAAATGCGAAATCAACATTGAGTCACAGTGTCGGAAATACTCACTCAACATTGAATCAGAGTGTAGGAAATGCTCGCTCAACATTGAATCAGAGTGTCGGAAATGCGCACTCAACATTGAATCAGAGTGTCGGAAATGCTCACTCAACATTGAATCAGAGTGTCTGAAATACTCACTCAACATTGAATCAGAGTGTCGAAAATGCGCACTCAACATTGAATCAGAGTGTCGGAAATGTGCACTCAAGATTAAATCAGAGTGTCGGAAATGCGCACTCAACATTGATTCAGAGTATCGGAAATGCGCACCTAACATTTAGTCATAGTGTCAAAAATGCTCACTCAACATTGAATCAGAGTGTCGAAAATGCGCACTCAACATTGAATCAGAGTGTCGGAAATGCTCACTCAACATTGAATCAGAGTATCGGAAATGCGCACTTAACATGGAGTCAGAGTGTCTGAAATACTCAACATTGAATCAGAGTGTCGGAAATGCGCATTCAACATTGAATCAGAGTGTCGGAAATGCGCACTTAACATTTAGTCATAGTGTCAAAAATGCTCACTCAACATTGAGACAGAGTATCGGAAATGCTCGTTCAACATTGAATCAGAGTGTCGGAAATGGGCACCTCAACATTGAATCAGAGTGTCGGAAATCAGCACTTAACATTTAGTCTTAGTGTCAAAAATGATCACTCAACATTGAATCAGAGTGTCGTAAATGCTCACTCAACATTGAATCAGAGTATCGGAAATGCGCATTCAACATTGAATCAGAGTATCGGAAATCAGCACTTAACATTTAGTCTTAGTGTCAAAAATGATCACTCAACATTGAATCAGAGTGTCGTAAATGCTCACTCAACATTGAATCAGAGTGTCGGAAATGCGCACTCAACATTGAATCAGAGTGTCGGAAATGCTCACTCAACATTGAATCAGAGTGTCGGAAATGCGCACTTAACATGGTGTCAGAGTGTCGGAAATGCGCACTCATTCTCACTCAACATTGAATCAGAGTGTCGAAAATGCGCACTCAACATTGAATCAGAGTGTAGGAAATGCTCGCTCAACATTGAATCAGAGTGTCGGAAATGCTCACTCAACATTGAATCAGAGTGTCGGAAATGCTCGCTCAACATTGAATCAGAGTGTCGGAAATGGGCACTCAACATTGAATCAGAGTGTCGGAAATGCTCACTCAACATTGAATCAGAGTGTCGGAAATGGGCACTCAACATTGAATCAGAGTGTCGGGAATGTGCACTCAACATTGAATCACAGTGTCGGAAATGCGCACTCAACATTAAATCAGAGAATCGGAAATGCGCACTCAACATTGAATCAGAGTGTCGGAAATGGGCACTCAACATTGAATCAGAGTGTCGGAAATGCGCATTTAACATGGTGTCAGAGTGTCGGAAATGCGCACTCAACATTTAATCAGATTGTCGGAAATGTGCACTCAAGATTGAATCAGAGTGTCGGAAATACTCACTCAACATTAAATCAGAGTGTCGGAAATGCGCACTCAACATTGAATCAGAGTGTCTGAAATGCTCGCTCAACATTGAATCAGAGTGTCGGAAATGTGCACTCAAGATTAAATCAGAGTGTCGGAAATGCGCACTCAACATTAAATCAGAGTATCGGAAATGCGCACTTAACATTTAGTCATAGTGTCAAAAATGCTCACTCAACATTGAATCAGAGTGTCGAAAATGCGCACTCAACATTGAATCAGAGTGTAGGAAATGCTCGCTCAACATTGAATCAGAGTGTCGGAAATGCGCACTTAACATGGTGTCAGAGTGTCAAATATTCTCACTCAACATTGAATCAGAGTGGAAATGGTCGTACCATCAGAGTGTCGGAAATGTGCACCTCAACATTGAATCAGAGTGTCGGAAATGCTCGCTCAACATTGAGTCAGAGGGTCGTAAATGTTCGTTCAACATTGAATCAGAGTGTCGGAAATGCTCATTCAACATTGAGTCAGAGTGTCGGAAATGTGCACTCAACATTGAGTGAGAGTGTCTGAAATACTCACTCAACATTGAGACAAAATATCGATAATGCTCGTTCAACATTGAATCAGAGTGTCGAAAATGGGCACTCAACATTGAGTCAGAATGTCGGAAATGCTCGCTCAACATTGAATCAGAGTGTCAGAAATGTGCACTCAAGATTGAATCAGAGTGTCGGAAATACTCACTCAACATTGAATCAGATTGTAGGAAATGCGCACTTAACATTGAATCAGAGTGTTGGGAATACTCACTCAACATTGAATCAGAGTGTCGGAAATGCTCGCTCAACATTGAATCAGAGTGTCGGAAATGCTCACTCAACATTGAATCAGAGTGTCGGAAATGCTCACTCAACATTGAATCAGAGTGTCGGAAATGCTCACTCAACATTAAATCAGAGAATCGGAAATGTGCACTCAACATTGAGTAAGAGTGTCTGAAATACTCGTTCAACATTGAGACAGAGTTTCGTAAATGCTCACTCAACATTGAATCAGAGTGTCGGAAATGCGCACTCAACATTGAATCAGAGTGTCTGAAATACTCACTCAACATTGAGAGAGATTGTCGGAAATGTGCACTTAACATTTATTCATAGTGTCAAAATTGCTCACTC